ATTTTTAAACAAAAAAAATTTTACCAAAACACCCGTCCCCCCCCCCTGAATTCATCCCGGTTTTAAACGCCTATTGGCTATAACAAATTATAATTATTCGTTACTTAACAACAATGCGCTGAGAATGATTTGAAAGCAGTGATGACGTTGTTAGTCTCAAGAATAATGTGTCCTTCGTAAGTAGCCAATGAAGTGCTTCACAGCCGGGACGAACAATGAATTCATAATTTTCGAGGGAAATAAGAGAAATATTTTATTGATTGTGTCTCTTGTGGATTGATAGTTATGATCAGCAGGTACACTGTATGTAATTTTTTAATTTTTATTCACAAAAGACTAATTTGTGAAGCTTACCTGACCTTGAAGTAAAGTAAATTATCAACTCAACTTAAGTTAGTATTATTTATGTCAATAAAGTCAATTAATAGTGAGATGGTCCGACCGGTACTTAGAAGAGGAAATTTTCGACGACGCTTCGGTCTGTTTATTATCAAGTCACAGTTGTGACTTGATAATTACCAAGTCGCTGCGTCTCTGAAGTTTCCTCTCCTTAGTGTGGGTTACCTGCAACTTTCTGGGACTTTTACTCTTCAACTTCAGGCTCATTCTCGCGGAGATTTACGGAAATGATTTCACATTATTATTAACTGCATTCACTGTGAAGCGATAACCAATGAAAGTCTTCAGAGCCTTGGGGAGGCATTAAGATTCAATGTGTGTGTGGTACTTACATATTTGTGGTTGCAGGAGTTGGTTCATAGCTCCTGGTCCTGCTTCTTTGCTAGTCGCTACTAGGTCCACTCTCTTCCCTACTCCATGAGCTTTACCGAATCGTGTTTGTGTGTGTATGTGTGTGTGTAACGCTGAAGACTCGATCCACCGTGACTAATAATACATATATCCTCAGCTTCGATGCAGGTGCTTTGATGCCTGTGAAAGGTTCTTGATACAGGACATTGGAGCCATTTTCCCCTTTGATGTCTCGAATGATATTGTCTGTCATCCCCTATTCACTAGCCGCTGCGTGACCACTACTCGTTTAGCACTCCCTTCATAAATGTTGAACTAATAACCTGCCTGAAAAGCAGAATATATACACAACGTAGTGAGACGTATATATTACATTACACACACACACACACACACACACACACACACACACACACACACACACCACACACACACACACACGCATATGCATGCACATACACAGGCCTAGTGTCTAATCGACATGTGCCTAGGACCAAATGGTAACTAACGTATATATATATATATATATATATATATATATATAATATATATATATATATATATATATATATATATATATATATATATATATATATACATATATATATATATTATATATATAATATATAATATATATATATATATATATATATATATAGATATATATATATATATAATATAATGTAGGTTCGAGTCTCCTTCAGCCAGAGATCAGTGTTTGTGTATATTTCGCATGCTCTCGCGAATTCCTTGCATATATATATATATATATATATATAATATATATATATATATATATATATATATATATTATATATATATATATATATATATATATATATATATGTCGTGCCGAATATGTAAAACTGGTCAATTAGCAAGAACTCATTTAAAATTTAAGTCCTTTCTAAAATTTTCTCTTATACGTTTAAAGATATATTTTTTTCACTAATGTTGATGTAAAAATTTATAATTTTGCACCAAAAGGAACTTAGAAAACTTACCTAACCTTATTATAACAAGCGCAATTTATTTTAGCCTAACCCAACTAAATATATTTTAGATTTGTTTACAGTAATTTAATACTAAACAAACATAATGAAATATATTTTTTTCGTTAGGTTCAGAATGACTTTGGCGAAATTATTGCGTACACAAATTTTCACTTGTCCTATATGGCAAGATGAGCGTTGCTATTTAAGCCAAGATCGCAATTCTGCCTATTCGGCACGACATATATATATATTATATATTATATATAATATATAATATATATATATATATATATATATATTAATATATATATATATATATAATATATATATATAAATATTATTATTATTATATATATATATTATATATATATATATATATATATATATATATATATATAATATATATATATATATATATATATATATATATATATATATATATATATATATATATATATATATATATATATATATATATATATATATATATATATATATATAAAATATATATATATATATATATATATTATAAAAATATAATATATATATATATATATATATATATAATATATATATATATATATATAAATATAATTTATATATATATATATATATAATAATAATATATATATATATATATAATATATATATTATATATTATATATTATATATATATTAATATATATATATATATATATATATATATATATATATAATATATATATATATATATATATATATTAAAAAGATATACTGTTTTGAAATTGGGTCCATCTATCTGAAACATCCTGTACAACGAAAAGCCAGTTCTGATCCTTTACGTTAGTTATCATGAATACACATACAAATATTACACTCTCATTACAAATTGCAAACTCCTGCTGTTATTACATGTGTACTGTATTCTAGAAAAGAGTTCTAAGCCCGAATGGCCATTAAGTATACACACTCCTACGTCAGGCAGCATTGCCAGTGTGTTTGACACTATTTTTTTTACTTGGTTGGTGAATGTGGGGAGGATGGAGTTGCTGCCTAGTGACCCACTACTACCTTCTCCGCCTTCCAGTGTCGACTGCACCATGGACGTTAACACAGTCCCTGTTGCATCCGTATCGTCTTCCGAGACTCGCATTCCATCCCTGACTACGACAGAAAATGAGGAGAAAAGACTGAAAGCAGAGCCAGGAGTCAGGATTCAGAGGCAGGTCAATGATAGGCCAGATAGTGATGAGCTCGATGCTGCAGCTTCAACGGGACAGATGGCTTCTGAAAACTCCAGTGCAGAGAGTCGAGGAAGTTGTGCTGAGGAATTCAGCTCCCCTCGTCCCCGTGTGCTTACCAGAACAAGAAAGCTAAACCTACTAAAACGTGAACCAGTGCAGAAAGAAAGGGAAACACACGGAGAACAGGAAGAAACAGAACATAAGAAAGTTGCAGAGCTTGAAAATGAAAGCAAAAAGGTATGCGACGGTGACGGGGGTGTGGGACTGAAGAAGGAGTTAGGACTGGTGGACTGTGTTGGACTCATCGTTGGTAATATCATCGGTACCGGCATCTTTGTGTCACCCAGGGCGGTGCTGCACTACACCGGTAGTGTGGGCATGTCACTATCTGTGTGGGTAGCATCAGGTGTTGTCGCCATGTTCGGAGCCCTCTGCTTCGCCGAGCTGGGTGAGTACTGAGTCACCAGCACTTTCTTCCTAGATCAGGATCTTGTATACAGCTGAATGGTGATGTTATTTTATCTGCTGTACTTAATAATGTACAATGCCTTATGGAAAACACAATTTTGAAGATGATAATATACAATAATAATCTGCTACATACATTATTTAATCAAGGAATGTCTTGGAAGCAATATATCGGTAATTGAATTTTGCTTAACATTTTGTCCCCAAAAGATTATTGGAGACGTTCCATAAATTGCGAGGTCAGTCGGTCGATTTTAAGCCCTTACACATCAAAATGGTATACAATACCGACAGGTTGTTAGGTAAGACACATATGCAACAGTTAGACAACTTTATCCCGAAACGTTTCGCCTACACAGTAGGCTTCTTCAGTCGAATACAGAAAGTAGGCAGGAACAGTAGAGATGTGAAGACGATGTAATCAGTCCACCCTTGTAGTCGTAGAATTTGAGGTTGTCAGTCCCTCGGCCTGGAGAAGTTCAGTTCCATAGTCAGGAACTATCTGAAGTTCAAGCGACAGTGCGGAGACTTAAATACTGTCGGAAGGAGAGGTGCAGAGTAGTAGTAGTAGTAGTAGTAGTAGTGAGAATGTAGCCACTGAGAGGTCAAGTCCCTCTCAGATCCAACACTTCTCACTTGAAAAGCTTGTCCAAGGTGTTTTCTGTACCAAGATGCCATGTGTTGCAGTGTCTGACAAGATGAACATCAAAATGGTATACAATACCGACAGGTTGTTAGGTAAGACACATATGCAACAGTTAGACAACTTTATCCCGAAACGTTTCGCCTACACAGTAGGCTTCTTCAGTCGAATACAGAAAGTAGGCAGGAACAGTAGAGATGTGAAGACGATGTAATCAGTCCATCACCCTTGTAGTCGTAGAATTTGAGGTTGTCAGTCCCTCGGCCTGGAGAAGTTCAGTTCCATAGTCAGGAACTATCTGAAGATCAAGCGACAGTGCGGAGACTTAAATACTGTCGGAAGGAGAGGTGCAGAGTAGTAGTAGTAGTAGTAGTAGTAGTAGTTGTCTAACTGTTGCATATGTGTCTTACCTAACAACCTGTCGGTATTGTATACCATTTTGATGTTCATCTTGTCAGACACTGCAACACATGGCATCTTGGTACAGAAAACACCTTGGACAAGCTTTTCAAGTGAGAAGTGTTGGATCTGAGAGGGACATGACCTCTCAGTGGCTACATTCTCACTACTACTACTACTACTACTCTGCACCTCTCCTTCCGACAGTATTTAAGTCTCCGCACTGTCGCTTGATCTTCAGATAGTTCCTGACTATGGAACTGAACTTCTCCAGGCCGAGGGACTGACAACCTCAAATTCTACGACTACAAGGGTGATGGACTGATTACATCGTCTTCACATCCCTACTGTTCCTGCCTACTTTCTGTATTCGACTGAAGAAGCCTACTGTGTAGGCGAAACGTTTCGGGATAAAGTTGTCTAACTGTTGCATATGTGTCTTACCTAACAACAAGCCCTTACACGCTTGCCTTGAGGCGAAGAATTTAATGGATGTGTCTCTCTGATTCTTTTGTGTTCTGCTGTTGTTTATAAGCTGTTTTAGTTGGAAAATAATTACTTAAATTTCTGTTAATTATCTTATAAACGTTGTACCTTTTTCCTTTCAGCTTTAATTGTGTCAACTGTCAACATGCATTGAATACAACTATTATTCCAATTGTGTCCTAACACCCTTAATTATATCCTCCTGACATAAAAAAGTATTTTCCGTCTTTCTAGCCACTTTGGGAGTTTTTAAAAACCGTTAACGAAGGTTATAAACTCAACTGTATGCAAAAACGCAGGTGAACTACGCATACAGAAAATACAGAACGGCTACATCTACACTGTAGATGAACGAGAAAGACAAGTGAAGATTCAGGGAAAAATAAGGTGTATTATATTCGTTCACTCCTGTGTAAATCTTGTAAGGTAGATGAAAAATACATGTATGAAGTCTTTTTTCCCATGATATACAGTCTACTCTCCAATGGGAAGTGGAAAAGAATTCTTTCTCCGATAGCCATGCGTGTTGTAAGAGGCGACTAAAATGCCAGGAGCAAACGGATAGTAACCCCTTCTTCTGTATAACTTACTATATAGAAAGTATATAAAAAAGAAAGTATATAAAAAAGAAAGTATATAAAAAAGAAAGTATATAAAAAGAAAAACGAAAGTTTTTCTTTTTAGGTCACCCTGCCTCGATAGGCTACGGCCGGTTAGAAAAAAAAAATTACCGTGAAATGGTTAAGGAAATTGATGTTTCATTGTTGTGAGTCACTCATGAAACATTGTGTAACTCACAACAGCGAAACAGCAGTTTCCTAAACCATTTCAAAATGATTTTATCATAGTAAAATTACCTCATTTATGTTTGTTTTGCATGATGTATTTTTTATTATGATATACAATCTACTATTCTACTTGAAGGTAGTAGGTTGGTAGACAACAACCGCCCAGGGAGGTACTACCGTCCCGCCAAATGAGTGTGAAACGGAAACCTGTAATTGTTTTATATGATGGAAAGATTCTTGGTGCCTTTTCTGTCTCATAAACGTGCGAGATCACAGGTAAATCTTGCTGTTTCACTACACTTAGGTTCAGAACACAAAAAAAAAACAGGGTTTTCTTTATTTCTAATGGCTCTTGTTCTTCTTTATTTCCCTCTTATCTCCATGGGAAAAGGGAAAAAAAAAGAATTTTTCCCCCAAAAGCCATGCGTGTCGTTAGAGCCCACTAAAATGCCGGGAGAAAGGGGAATAGAACCCCCTTTCCCCTTGTATTTTTACTAAAAAAAAAAAAAAAAATTTGGGGTCCCACCTCAGTGGATAGGGCCGGGTTTGTTTAAAAAAAAAATAAAAACTATTTTGAATGGTTGGGGAATTTTTTTTCTTTGTTGTGTTTATAAAAATCAGTGAAATAACAACATGAAATAGCAATTTTTTTTAAAAACCATTCAATAGTTTTTTATCACAGTAAATATATCTCAATGTAGTTTCATGCATCTAATGTCCAAAATTTTCAGTTGTCTTTTCTCATTCATCTACATCTAGATGTAGCCATTCTGCATTTTCTGGTTTTTGCACAGTTGAATTTATAACTGGGTTATTTCTTTCAACCAGTTTAAAACCCTAACTGGGGAATGCACCACCTCTCAGTTTTAAAACGAAACCCCACTTACAAGGGGGAAACAAAAGACGACTTTCGTCCCTCTTAATAAAGGCAAATGGTTCTGACGGATTGAAAGTCGTCATCTTTTCCCTATCTAAAGGGAGGTTATATTAAATTGTTCGCGACGTATTGGATTTTTATTCTTCACACCCCTATTCACCTACCCCGCCTTTAAGGGAAGGGTGAAGGGGACAGGAGGTGTAAGGTTATTATTTTTATTATTTTTAAATTATTATTATTATATTATTTTTATTATTATTATTATTAATTTATCTTATTAGTTTTAAAACCCGTTCCGGTTAAATAGGCTTGTTCAAGTCTCATCTCCCCGGGGAATCGAACCTGGCCCCGTTAGTAATGCCGACGAAATCTACCACTGACCTAACCTTTAAAATTTTATAACTGAATACGAGTTTTTTTTTTGTATGTGGAGGGGTCTGAGATAAACAAGTTAAGTTTTCCCACTTGTAAAAGACTGGGGTATTATTGGGAAAGGGACATAGAAAATCCTGCGGTAGGGTGCACAACGACCTTTCTTACTTGCGATGCGGAGAGTGGGCGAGAAAGGGACTTGGGGACTCCGGGGGGTCGCATCATCTTGTGTGTTACTTGATGTTTTTCTCTTGTTACCTCCCTGCCTTAGGGTTTTTAAATTGAATTTATTAATTACTTTATTTAATAATCTCTCTAATTTTAAATGCCACAACACATACACACACACGTGAAGCATTCGCTAATAGTGCCCCGGATTTAGCGTTTAGGGCTGCCTAAGATATTATAGGGGGTCATCGTACGGAGTGAATCAGTGAACATACCTACAAGAGGTAAAAGCTTTCAGAGTGCGAAAAATGTGATAAGATCAAAAATTTTTAAAACAATTAAAATTTGAATGATTGAAAAATCCCCAGCGTTGGGTTTGGGAATGTACAAACACATCAACTTTTTAATGACCAAATACTGTACAAAAAGAAAAAAGGAGGAATACCAAGTTTTAAAAAGAAAAAAGAAAAAAAAAATTTGAAGCATATAAAGTTCCAAAGGATTTAACAAAATTAAAGGGATTTGATAGCAGCCGACCACAGGAACCTCCATTTGTGTAGACATCACTTGCCTTTTGTGGAAAATTTTTGGTTAGTGTCTAAAGCCGGCCTCGCCTGCTAGTTTTATGCTATCCATTACTCCCCTTTTTTTCTCCCAAAGGAGATAGAATGGGTAACACTGAAAATTTTAGTAAATTTCAAAATATCCCCCGGGTTTAAACTCCAGAAGAGTTTTTTATGGGAAACCCCCCCCCCCCCCCCCCTTTTTTTTTCTGACAGCGACAAGCTAGTAAAAAAGTACGTAAAAATACAAACCAAACGTTTTGACCCGTAATTATTATTATAATAAAATTTTAATATTTAAAAGAATTGAGGGAAAAAAAAAAATCCTATAATTTTAAAAAAAGTAAAGAGCCTAGTGTGGGAGATCGGGGCCGGGAGAGTCCCGGGTTAACCAACAACAATAACAAAAGTGTTCTTAAAAATCGTAATGACACGTTTGCAAAACAAACCATACCCGGCCGGGATTGAACCCCGGGGTCATAGAGTTAACGTGCCCCCCCCCCCCTCTTTTTCAAAGAACGACAAGTAGTAAACCAACACACACACAAACACAAGTGTACACCCCAAACACAAGTGACACAATTAATTTTATATAGTTATATTAGTGTATTTTTAAAAAGGAATTGATTGTAAAAAATTTTTATAATCTTCAAAAGATAGCGTACCTATGTGCGCACGCACACC